ACACGTAAGTCCCAAAGAGAAGTTAAATAAAACTTATAGAAATGGGAATCCTATTTCTCAATTGTTAAAGCAAGAAAGAAGCAAATATATATATATATATATATATATATATATACCATCCAGATGCAAATACGCATTTTGCAATTTATAAGGTGCAGAAAAGAAAATCAAAAATAAGAATTGGATGCCAAACAAGATGAACTGTGTCCTCCCGCTCCCCTCCCCCAACCCCTAAAATTCCACTCTCTGGAATAAACAACTTGGTTAAAAAGTTAAGTCAAGGGTATAAAATCTTTCTTTTATTCACAGCATTGCTAAATCAGAAGCATTCACAGTTTCCCTCTGGGAATCATCCTGTTTGCCTTACAACGTGCCCACGTCACGGTGGTCCTGTGGACACCAAGTCGTGCCCTGCTGGGAAGACGGATGGGCCCAGGGCCGACAGCGGCGCGAACTGCGAGGCTTCGGAAGCACAGGAGGCAGAGGCCCGGCGTGAGCCGGGGCAGGCGCGGGCGGCCGGCGGCCGGGGGCGCGGGCGGAAGATGGCGAACGTGGGGCTGCAGTTCCAGGCGAGCGCCGGGGACGCGGACCCACAGAGCCGCCCCGTGCTGCTGCTCGGGCAGCTGCACCACCTGCACCGCGTGCCCTGGAGCCACGTCCGCGGGAAGCTGCAGCCCCGGGTCACCGAGGAGGTGAGCGGGCCGCGGCCGCCATGCGCCCCGCGGAAGCGCAGGCCCGGCGGCGTTAGGCCCCGCCCGGGACCCGGCCTGGAGCCCGCGTCAGTCCGCTCCAGGGCCCAGCCATTGTCCCGGGCCGGCGCCGCCTGCCAGGCCGCGACACCTGCGCGCAGGCCTGCACCCGCGGCCGAGTGGCAGCCGCCACCTGCCTTTCCGCGTGGCGCCCGGCCCCTGATCCCGCGCCAGTGGAAACAGGCCAAGCCCCAGCCGACGCGGGGGCCAAGTATTCGAAGCAAAGGGGTCCCAGCCCGGCCCCCTGGCCCCTAGGCCTCATTCCATGAGTGTGGCAGGGTGCCAGGCAGAGACACAAGCACCCGGTGGCCCGATGGGCTGCCCGGGAAGTGCAGGCGTGGCACTCAGGGCGGGGTCCTGGCACTCGGCCCGGTTTGAAGTCCACTCTGCCTCTTGTCTCCCTTCTGATCTAGCTCTGGCAGGCTGCTCTGGCCACACTCAATCCCAACCCCACGGACAGCTGTCCCCTCTACCTGAACTACGCCACCGTGGCAGCCTTGCCCTCCAGGGTGAGCCGGCACAACAGCCCCTCGGCTGCCCACTTCATCACCCGGCTGGTGCGGACCTGCCTGCCCCCCGGAGCCCAGCGGTGCATCCTGGTGAGTGTGAGAGAGGGCCCAGGAGTAGGTCCGGGAGCCCAGTCTTCCTTCCCCACAGAGCCACTGACCCAGAACACCTGCTCGTCATCATCCTTGTCACATAGGCAAGGTAGCAGACGCAGTCATCTAGCCCAGACTAGTTTCGGTGGCTGGTCAGAGAATGCAGCCTGGACTTCCTGCAGCCAGGCCTCCTGTCTGAGCTGCCATGTCTTGTGCTCCTGTCCGCAGAGGCACCTGGCAGCATCTGGTGGCCAGTGTCTCCTTTCTGTCACATTTCAGGCCTCCATCCCAGGGAAGGCATGAGGGGTGGGTGCGTGGCTTCTGCAGGGGCGTCTCCTGTGGGTTTTATTTCCCAGGAGTTGCTGTTGGGTGGCGCCCCTGCTGGGCGGCTCCTGGGCACACCGTGTGGCGCTCAGCCCCTGCTCTGTCTCTCCTCTTGTCTGCAGATGGTTTGCGAGCAGCCCGACATCTTTGCCTCCGCCTGTGCCCTGGCCCGGGCCTTCCCACTCTTCACCCACCGCTCTGGGGCTTCCCGTCGCTCAGAGAAGAGGACCGTCACAGTGGAGTTCTTCTTGGTGGGACAGGACAACGGGCCAGTGGAGGTGTCCATGTTGCAAGTGGGTGTTTGAAGATGCAGGCTGTCCCAGATCCCCTGGGAGCTCTTCCCTTCCATAAGGGGGGGTGGGAGGGTGTCTGTGGTTCCAAGGAGCCCCAAAAAGTCAGCAGCCCCTCTCCCACAGGGCAATCCTTGTTTCTAGAGTTTTGTTTTGTTTTGCCAGTGTTACCTGTGCGTCTAGCCGGGCACCTTCCGTTTTAATCCCTGTACTCCTTTGCCTGTGGGTATTGAATCCATAAAGGGAGCACTTTTACATATGTTATTTCACTTGATCCTAAGAATGCTTTGCAGGCAGGCAAGGCTGGAAGTGGTTCCTAACCCCTGGCTCTGAGTACTGAGCTGCCTTCCTACACAGCTGTCCCCAAGCCCACTCCTGTGGCCTTGCCCACAACCTCCCCTGCTCAAGTAGCCAGACTAGATGGTCCTCTTCCTGCTTCAGTGCTTACCCTTTCATTTCTGATGCAGGAGTCCCCACCTGAGACTTGGGGTCCACCCTGCCTGGTCTGCTGTCTCCTCCCCAAACCCCATTGAGCTCATAGGACTCGTCCAAAAATCGCTGCCCAGCCAGATTCCTTCTTTAGAAAGAAAGAACTTGCTTCTGTCTCTGCCATCTTGAATGAGTTCTCCTTTTTTTCTTCATCACCCAAATTTTAAAAACTGTCGGTTGGTATTGTTTATCTTGCTTCCTGACTTTCTCCTACTGAGAGCTAGCCTGGGCTTCCTTGCCAGTGTTGCTTTTAAGGCCTCTGCCACTGGGCCACAGTGGCATCTGCCTTCTTTGAGGCGCAGCTGCTTGTCTGGAGCCTGTGCAGTCTCTTCACAGCCTCCTTGACCTGATGCTCTCCTCTCTGACTGATGTTAGCCACCTGTGGGCCCCATCCTGCCGCAGGACCTGGATACCCCCGCACACACACACCATCTTGGGGGAGTTCCTTCTGCGCTCTGGCCCACTGAGCACCAGAGCCCAGCCTGGAAACCTGAGCACCACCCTTGGTCCCCTCACCATCCACTCTTCTCATCTACTCCTGACCTCGCTCCTTTGCCTTCTTCCCACACTGACCCCTACGCAGCCTCCATGGTTCCTGTTGTCCCTCAGCCTGTTGAGGTGTTCAAGGTCTGACACCCATGCAGCCGTCTCCCTTTTCCCTGCTGGGGCCTCCTCCTCAAGTCCTATCCACGCTGTCAGTGTTCTAGGTCTCTCTGCCTCTGAGCTCCTCTTCTGACACTTTGATGGTGGGTGGATGGGCGGTCATTCACTGCTGGCCTTGAGGCCCTGAGATAGCTTTATTCTCAGATCTAGCACAGTGCCCTAGTCCTCACATAAATGGACAGAATGCATGCATGAATGACCTCCTCCTGGGAGGAGGGAGCCGAGGCCCTCTCTGCCCTCTCACTCCTCACTTTGTGCCAGTGCCGTGAGCTTGCTAGGATTAGCAGGTCACACCTGCTTCCCACAAAGCCAGGCCTGTGGCCCTGACACGCTCCTCAGACAGGGCGAGTGCTGCAGGTGGCAGGAACACACACACACGCATCTCATATCTGAGCTGTCACGTCCTAGGTCTCTACCTTTGAAGCGTTGAGGTTTAATTACCCAGGACAGACAGTGGCTCTTGCAGCGACCAGACAGGCGGGGGTGGTAGCCTGGCTGGCAAATTGACCCTGCGCCTGCCCTCCCTGACACGGTGGGCCTTTGGGAGGCGATGACGAATTCATTGTCACTGCGTGCACCTGCGGGCCCTTAGCTGTTTTTCTCTTAATAGCGTCTCCTTCCGGCCAGCTCGGAGGCGCTGACGCAGCCAGCAGCCTGGCTGGAGCTTCTGAGACTTGGGGGTGGGCGGTGAAGACCAAGGTGGGGCGGGGTGTCCTGGGAATGAGCTGAGGGCCAGGCTCTACAGGCAGAAAAGCCTTCCAGTTGGCTGAAGCAAGAGCAGGACCACTGCTGTCTGCCAGGTGCCATTTTCTGGGCACATGTGGCATCTGCATTCGTGCTGTGTCATCTCTGAGCAGCTTTCCCCAGTACCGGGGTCTCAGGCTCCACACTTGAAGTTGAGTGGTCCGCTTTCTCAGGTTCCCGTGCCCTGCTGGGTGCCGAGGAGACACACACGCTCCACGAGGCAGGGCTTGCTCCACGTGCTGTGCCCAGAGCGAGCTGCTCGGTGACAAAGAAAGCAAAGGCAGCCAGCCATGGGTGTCCCGGGGGAGCTGTGGGCTGCCCCCTGGGTGCATGTGGAAAGCAGACCCCCAGGCCCAGAAGAGCATGCAGGAGCCCCTGGAAAGGCGGCACTGAAAAGGTCTTGAATGGTGCTGAGGTCCTGACTCGAGGAGCAGTGGTCTGCAGAGGACAGATAGGGGAGGAGCGAGGTGGGGACTTCGAAAGGACCCTGGTGTGAAGTCAGGACAGAAGGCTGCAGGGTGGGCCACGTAGACCTTTCTCCCTCAGGGTGGTTGCTAGGGAGGGGGTGCTGGCGTGGGTCTTGCTTCTGCCTCCTTGATGTCTTCAGTGCAGCCCTGCATCCTCCCAGGGAGTTGTGGGGCTTGTCCCTCTGATGCCACTGGGTTCCTGGGGACATCCACCTCCTACCAGACCCAGGGCCCCAGTGATCGCTTTTTGCCTTTTCACAGTGCTTAGCAAATGCCACGGAAGGTGTACGGCTGGCAGCCCGCATTGTGGACACGCCCTGCAATGAGATGAACACAGACATCTTCCTTGAGGTGTGTGGCCCCATGGTGCCAAGGGAGAGGCTGCTGGGCTGTGGGTCGCAGGCCCCAAGCAGAGGAGGAGGAGACCTGGGGGCTGTCTGTCTATGCTCTCCGGCCCCTCCCAGGAGCCACAGAGTTCTGCTGTCCACCCAGCTTAAAAGGCCAGAAGCCTCAGCAGAGGGTATGGGCAGGACAAGACCATGCTCTGGCCCCATAGTAGGCTTGCAGCCATGAGCTGCAGAAAGTTGGGGGCCTTGCTGGGGGAGTCATCTCTCTTTGGTTTAATCATGAGCATCAGGGCTGCTGGCTCCTGAGGCAGCTTGTTCCCTCACCGCACAGGCTCTGGCCCAGCCCTGGCCCCAAGCCCCAGCCTTGTCTGGGGTCAAGCCATCTTCACATGTCTTCATGTTGTTTTTTCCGTGAATGTGTCCAGGAGATTAACAAAGTTGGAAAAGAGCTGGGAATCGCCCCAACCATCATCCGGGACGAGGAACTGAAGACAAGAGGATTTGGAGGTGGGTGGGCGATCCCACCCCACAGGGTTGGCCTCAGGGAGGACCCAGGGGCACTTTGGTGTCAAGAGTCTGGCTGGGTCACATGGTGCATTGTCCAAACTCCATCCTCGCTGTGATCCCAGAGAAATCAGCCCATCTCAGTCCGAGGCCAGAGCCTGAGAAGCTGAGTGTCCCTGGAGGAGAGCGCGCGGCAGCTGTCCAGGTTCTGAGGCACATGCTGGAGGCATCTAGACCCAAGTCCTTCCCCTGCTGCAGCCTCCTCCCGCCCTGCACACTCTGCTCCCAGCCAGCTCAGCAGGGCCTTTCAGTTCCTCGAATGCACAGGTTCACATCCATGTCAGGGCTTTGCATAGATAGCTCACTCTGTCTGGAGTGCTTTTCCCCAAGGCGTTCATGTGGCACAAGCGGCTTCTCCTGCGTGTCTCAGCTCCAGTGCCATGTTTCCCGATGGCATAAGACCATGCTCCTCCACTGCCCAGGGCCACAAGGAAAGAAAGATACCTATGGCTGGACCACCTGGAGATGCTTCCGGGCTGCCTAGGGTGGCCACAGGCAGTTATCTTTGCTATGAAACAGATGACCCCAGGATGACTAGCAACTACGGGCGACATGTTCCCTTCCAAACCTCTGTGGGGTGGGGGACTCTGTGGCTCAGAGTGTCTCTCCTCTGCAACTGTGGGTAGCTGGCTCTGTGGATCCTTCTGGGGCACTCAGCTGGTGTCTCTAGAACAGCGAGGCAGAGGAAGCAAGCAGGGTGTTAGCTCCCGCCTTCACAAGAGGTGTCTCGGATGTGAGGGCGATCTGGCTGCGACATCTGTCACCCCACTGATCGCCAGGGTTGATTCGGCTGATCTGGCTGGCTAGGCGGGTGTCCCCTTCCTCAACGATCCATGTGCGTCCCTCCCGAAGCTGCGCGCTCGGTCGAAGAGGATGACTACCCCAGATAGAGGAGAACCGTTTCTCAGTCAAGGGTGTACGAGTAGCTGCGCTCCCCTGCTGGAACCTCCAAACAAGCTCTCAGGAGGCGTCTCATTGCTTCTGCTGTGCCCGTGGCCAGAGATGAGACACTAAGACCCGGCCCCTCTGAGGTGGAGAGGACAGCAGAGACAGGAGTGGCCCAAGGGCACTGTGGGGCCACCTTAGCAGGGCCTGCTGCAGACACAGAAGCTCCTGATGTGGGGCAGTTTCTCTGAGGAGGTGACATTTGCAGTGGGTCCTGCAGGATGAGCAGGAGCTCATGGGCGAGCTATTTAATTAGAGCTTGTCTGGCTGCCGCCCTCAGCTTGGCGACTACGAGACTTGAGGCCTGGCCTCTGCGCTTGCCCGGGCCATGGCGTCCTGAGGAATGAGGCCCGGTCCTGTGCGCTTGCCTGGGCCATGGCGTCCTGAGGAATGAGGCCCGGCCTCTGCGCTTGCCCGGGCCATGGCGTCCTGAGGAATGAGGCCCGGGCAGCAGCAAGGAGGCGGCGTGAGGCCATGGGGCAGGCTGCAGTGCAAGGTGGGGCCGAGTGTGGGGCCGCGCTCAGGGCAGAGAGCGCGTGTGAACCAGGTGACCAGAGCATCGTCCCAAAGTCATCTCTGCAGTCCTGCGCTTTTCTTCCTGGAAAGGATACAGCCCTTTTTCCCCTCAGCAGATTTTCTCGCCTCATAATATCCATTGAGACCCATCCAAGGCGCAGATACCAGAGCCAATGCCCATTCCTGTCCCCCATGGGCCAGGCGTGGTGTGGGGGAGGGTAGCGCAGCTCCCCAGGAAAGGGGTCCCTGCGGCTCAGCCTGCATCTCACCATACTCTCCTTGCCCGCAGGGATCTATGGTGTCGGCAAGGCTGCCCTGCACCCCCCTGCTCTGGCCATTCTCAGCCATAACCCCGACGGCGCCACGCAGACCATCGCGTGGGTGGGCAAGGGCATCGTCTATGACACCGGGGGCCTCAGCATCAAAGGGAAGGTGAGGTGAGGTCTGGGGGTCCAGCGGGGCTCCTGCAGGCCCCCCGGAGGGCTAGGAGGGAGGGAAGGTGGGTGGATTTCTCTAGGTGCGAGCTGGGCGGAAAGTGGTCACAGGGCCCATTTCTGTTCTGAGGAGCAGATGGTGGAGACAGCTTAAGTAGAAGGCAGGAATCAAAAAGTACAGACCTTTAGGCCCAGCAAGATAGCTCAGTGCACTAAGTGCCTGCTTAGGCAAGTACAGGGACCTAGGTTCAATTCCCAGCACCACATGCTGTGCTGGCCCTGCCCCCAGATGCGCTGAGTTGGTCACTGAGTCCAGGTGTGGTGGCAATTACAGGCCTGTAAATTCCAGCACTGAGGAGGCTAAAAACAGGAGGATCACTATGAGTCCAAGCTGCGTAGTGAGACTGTGTACCAAATACATTATATATATATATATATATATATATATATATATATATATATATATATAGAGAGAGAGAGAGAGAGAGAGAGAGAGAGAGACCTTTAAGAAGGTATAGGATTAACTAGGAAGCGTTCAGAAGAAACGAGTCAAGGGGAGAGAGAGCTTGGGGGACAGGGAGTGTGGGAGGCGCCCTCAGAGCAGGTGCTGAAAGCTGGAAGCTGGCAGTAGCCAGTAGGGCTCACGGATGTGTCCTATTGGTCAAATGACATTTTTCAAATGTGAGTTAGTCACTACCACTTAAAAATGGAAAGTAGGCTGGAACCTCAGCACTCAGGAGGCTGAGGCAGGAGGATCACTATGCGTCTGAGGGCAGCCCAAACTTAAATTGCAAGACCATGTCTCAAAAACAACAAGAAAAGAAAATCAGGAAGTGTTCTCATAAAAACTGGATTTCAGGCCTTTTGTAAGCTCAGAACACTTGGCAACACTGGTTCTGCCTTCTTACCTAGTGGCGCATCCCCTGCCCCTTTGCTACAGGCTCCCCCTCCCTCTTGCTACACTGACACTGAGCTACCACATCGGCTGCCACTTAGGGTGTCAGCTGTGTTTGCAGAGTGGATGATCATTTCCTTAAAATATCTGCCCCTACACACACCAAAATTATTCTCAGGACTAATCACAAAATGGAACTAATAAAAGTTTTAAAATAATCCCAATAGCAAACATTCTCTTTTATTGAATTTCATACATATTACCATGCCAGTAAAAAAAAAAAAAAAAAAAAAAAATTAAATCCACTACAAGAAAACAGCAGTGTATTAACTCCTTCAATATTAATGGATTTTTAAACTAGGAAAAAGAACTCAAGTCTGTCGTAATGGGTTGTGGCATCAGTATTTGTATTTGGGTGTTGTCTTCCACAAATTCAACTTCAGGAAGTTCATCGTCTTTGTACATTTATGCTCAGCAAGCAGCAGGCAGGTTTGCCCGGCTGTTCCCCGCACAGTCGGTCCAAGAACACTGTTCACTTGACCCTGCACTGTTCCAGAGGCCCGTGGCAGTCCCAGGCATCCCACTCCACAGCCCATTCCAGAAGCCATAGGAATGACCAGTGTTCAGGTCTCTGGGGTCTGGTCTCAAGTTCAGATGTCTGAGGATGAAAAAGATGTCACACCCCCCCTCGGGGGGCCATGCAGAATGGGGGGCGCCGGGCCTCCGGGCCGTCTGTAGCCCGGGAGCTGTCCTTGAGTGCAAGAGGCGGTAGCTCCCCAGCACGGAGGGGCCCAGCTCAGCGGAGCACCCCGAAAGTCCTGCCCATCGAACCATTCCCGAGTGGATGCAGTCCCTGAGAGTGTTACTTAAAGGATAAAGCATAAAGGTAGATGAACATGAATCTTTTATTCATAGGATTAAAATGCGACCGTAGCAGTGGCTGTTGTTTAAACTTCAACAACAGGTTTGCTGGGAGAGAGGAGGAGGACGGCTGAGACTGCCCGGAGTCACCAGCACTTAATGATAAGCAGCAGCCGACAGACTTCTGGGCAGTCTCTCCGCACCCCTTGTCTACACCTGTCCGACTGCCCCCTTGGTCCCTGCTGCCACCACGGGGCAGCTGCATCCTGGCTAGGGAAGCATGGGCCCTTTTCTCCTCAGACCAGATTCTTATTCTTGGTCTTGGCTTGTTGGAGGGCTGGAGCAAGAAGCAGGCTCCCCAAGGTCAGTCCTTCTGCGTCGGGCTCTAACGCCACACTCTCAGGAGAAGCTCTGGCACCCATGTAATTTCATTCGCCCTCAGTGTGCAGCTCCAAGGAGGCAATGGCCTAGGGGTACTTGGAGGACATGCCAGAGCTCAAGGTGCCTGTTATGGTTGTGGGTTGCTGTCCAAAGACGAGACAGTGGGCCTGGGCCCCCATGAGGTCAGACTGGCCTGCAGGCACTCGTTCGTCAGGTGTCTTGGCATTGGCCCAGTTTTAAGTGGCCTACCTGTCCCCAGCTTGGAACTCTTCCGTGTCAGTTTGGGATGTACCTGCTCTTCTCCTGAGCTTTCTTGAGCTGTACTGTGTTAAACACTAGACTGGGCAGCAAGGCCTCCGTGGCTGGCAGAAAGACCCTGCTCTGGAACTAAAGGCACTCACGCCTCCCCTAGGCCACGTGTGATGCTCAGCGTGGCAGTGGCCCCTTCCCAGGTGGCTGGATCAGAAGCGACTCTATGGCATGGTCACTTCTCAAAAATCAAGCTGAGCAATACCTGCAAATCTCAGTTTTACAAGAACAGTCTCTGTTTGCAACGATTTCAAAGGCAAATCAGTAGCCAGTCTCAGACACTAACTCGGGACCTAGTTTCTGATTCCAAATCAGAAAATTTCTGATTCCAAAGAGGCTCATTCCCAATAGTGAGATCAATTGCTATTGGCTGTAGTGGAATTTAAAACTGAAAAGTACAAAAGTACCTATAATTCGTTTTACAATACGATAGATAGATAGATAGATAGATAGATAGATAGATAGATAGATAGATGTCTCACGTGTTAACATACATAGGGTCATTTTATGAAAACCACTATATCCTCCAAAATGGAAAAACATGAGGCGGGTAGCACTGTACCTTTGCGAGGCTCCCTAGTGTCTGTCTGCTCCAGGCGCAGTGAGGTCTTGAACTTGCCTCCACAGAGCGTTCTGTCAGTTGCAGAACGTTGTTCCGGTTGAAGTATATCAAGGAAACCTAACCTCTGGCTTTTATAGTTGGAAAGGGCAGGAGAATTTCAGTCCCTCTTCCCAATAATGGGGGATAGTCTTTGCTATTACCACGAAACTCAACAAGTAGTATTTTCTTAAAGGCTGGTGATGATGAGAAATTTCTGTTCATGTTCTTCAGGAAAATTTGCTGGCAGTGTTGTTGAGTTTCATGTGTGTGGCTTGGTGCTATCATACATGAGTAATTTGGAGAATATTGATCCGCAGAGATATCCAGAAGGTCCAACTGGTTTTTTGTTTTGTTTTGGGGGGTTTTTTGGTACTAGGGATTAAACTCTGGACCTTGCATTTGCCAAGCAGGTGCTTATGCTGCTGAACCTCTCCCCAGCCCTTGAAAGTCCAACTTTTGACACATCTAAAACTAGAATGTCAAAAGCTCACAGGCACCAATGCCACACGCAGCTCCTCACTAGTCCTCGAGTGGTGGGTATTGCCAGAGTAGCCTGAGGGAAGTTTTCAGCTCTTCCGATTGCTAGAAAATACCTGCCAGACACCTAAGTAAACACTGTCCCCTGTCTGTTGTCCGTGGATGGACATGGGTGGGCCTGGGTGTCCATGAGTGGGTGCTTATGTGCATCACTTACATCACCATCAACCCCAGCACAGCAAGGCAGCAGCAGCACTTTTTGTCACCCAAAAGAGCGGCAATGCCTTATGCTCAGGATCATTTTAAGAATTAACTTTACTGCTTCAGCAAGAGGATTTTTGGAGGGCGTGGTTGCCATCCACCATGGCTTCTGCACTGTCCCTGCAAGCATCAACCCAGTAAAGGAGGCAAAGGCCATCTTAGCACCACTAGGAATGAGATTTCTTTTAGACAAATAGAAACCAGGCCAACTTTAAGCAATCAGTCAAGCTGGATTTGTCCGCTTAGCATCTTTCTTCCGTAATAAGGAAGTGGCACTTGTGACAAGACCACCTGGTGTCCCGTGGTGGCCATGGGGAGGCATTTTCTGTGCTGGCCGTTTTGAAATGATTTGTTCCCAACCCCAAGGTTCCATTTTTTCCACTTAGAACAATCTTGTGCTTTCTTGCCCATTAGGTCAGAAAGATGGCTTATTTTCAATAGTGCTAGATGGATCATTTTTACTCAACTTAATTATAAGAGCAACTCCATTTATATCTAAAAATACTTTCCACTAAAATCCAAGGCTCACGTAATACCATAAGGGCTCAAAAATCTCTGTATATTCCAGGCACAAATCCTTGTATCTGACGACCTGTTGTTAATTTAGAATTGGGAACCTATAAAATGTAAAACTGTCTAACTACTTTCAAGCAGTTTCTAGATGATACATTTAAATGTGCAACAGGAAGGTGGAGTGTGTGTGGAGGCTTCTATGGAGAAGGTAGAGAGGCCTAGAGCAGACGAGAGTGTGGGGCAAACAGCAAGATAGAGGGGGCTCCCAGCAGGGATGGACAGAGGCAGGGGCAGGAGGAGACCTCACGGGCAACTAAGGCAGGAAGGGCTCAGGCTCTGGAGGCCCAGTAGACCAGGTGCAGTGCAGCTGCACCCCTGGCTGTGGCTCAAGATGGAGAGGCTGAGGGTGGCCATCGGCAGTCAGATGGGCTGCACCGCTGGGAGCCGGACTGTAGGGCTGCACAAAGGGGGCGCAGGCTAGGAAGAAAGCCAGAGCCAGAGCCCCCCAACATAGCAGGAACTGTGAGGAGTGGAGTCCATTCAGCTTTTTGGCAAACAGTCCTCTCTGGGATTCCACATCTTGGCAGAGACCCGGGGCTCTGACTGCCACGCGGGTGCTTCAGTGAGGTCTGCAAAGTGCTGGCCGAGTGACCCCCAGTGAGCCTCCGAGGCTTCCTGCACCTCACACTTTGGGCAGAGGAGTGGATAGTGAGCCCTTGCAGGCAGGCCCCAGGCTGACACAGCAGCTGTGCTGTGGAGGTAAGGGTGCCCATGTCTCGGTGACACCTGGCCACAGTGAAATCAGCAGCCTTGGGCACCCGCGGGTCTCCCCACCATCACCACCGGTGCTGCTCAGCAGCCCCAGAGCACTGCTGAAATAAAAGGGGTCTCACCATTCCTCCTCCCGCCTTGGGCCACTGCTTCTTGTGGCTTCTAGAGAACACCCCCTTGGACCCGGTAGAGCTGTGGGTGCTCAGGTGGCCTCCCGAGAGGGCTTGGCGGGCCTGGGGCACTCTGGGGGAGGCAGGGGCCTGGTGTGACATGCAGGTTGGCGTGGGGCTGGAGGCTGGCCGGCCTCCGAGTTCACACGCCTCTCCCCTTCTCCTGTTGCTTTGTGCTACTGCAGACCACCATGCCAGGCATGAAGCGAGATTGCGGAGGTGCTGCGGCCATCCTGGGAGCCTTCAGAGCTGCTGTCAAGCAGGTGAGCGGGACTTGCTCTCTGCCACGTGACCCAGGCCAGTGTCATGTGCTGTGCCCTGCCCCTCTCCTTGCGGGCCTAGCCAGGTTATTGCTCTGCCCCGGGACCTTTGCGAGCCCTCCAAGCTCTTGTGTAAGCCAGACGTGGAGCACTCAGTCCTTTCGTTCTGGCCCCAGGAAAGGAGAACCCCACTTCCATTTCTTGCTGCCCTGTGTGTATTTGTGTATGTGTGCGAATGGGGACCGTGAGAACCCCCGTGGAAGGGAGCAGCGGGCCATGACAGAACTCCACCCCTCTGCAGATGCATCCACGGCTGGCACAGGCTCCCACGGGGGATCCTAGAACCCCCCAGGGGAATCTTGGCCCTAGGAACCGCAGGGACTGTGCCCAGGCTGGCATGGGGGCCTGAGAGCTCCACATCGCCCTTCCCGGGCCTCCAGTCTGTAAGTGGAAGCTCTGCCCTCTTCTCGCTCCAGGGCTTCAAAGACAACCTTCATGCCGTGTTCTGCCTGGCAGAGAATGCGGTGGGGCCCGGTGCCACCAGGCCAGATGACATCCACCTGCTATACTCAGGAAAGTAAGCTGCCTGCCTCTGCCCATGCCACTTGCCATGCCACCCGTGTTGTTTGCACTGGGGCCACCTCCGTCCCCCTCTGCGAGCTGCCTGCATTACCTCATGGAGAAGAGATGTGTATTGGGCATGAGGAAGCTCCCGGGATGGGGTCCCTAAGTGGGGTTGCCCGAAGGAAGTCAGTGCCCAGGGATTGCATCCCTGAACTGGGGTTTCTGCTGTACCTCAGGACTGTGGAAATCAACAACACGGATGCCGAGGGCAGGCTGGTGCTGGCCGATGGCGTGTCTTATGCCTGTAAAGACCTGGGGGCCGACATCATCCTGGACATGGCCACGCTGACCGGCGCCCAGGTGGGAGCCAGAGCTGGGCTGGGGAGCTGCACCCCTTGGCCCTGAGGTGGGCGAGGCGGGGGCAGAGGCTGCCACTGTGAATTTTCAGGACCTGCAGAGGGGCTGGGAGGAGCTGTGGTTACAGGAAGATGGGACACAGGACCTACGCTCGGTGCTCCTGGCTCCCTTCTGTTACTTCCTTTCTGGAAAGTGGTGCTCACTGCCTCTCCGGGGCCGTGATTGTCCTTTTCCTCTCTTATGTATCTCTCCTGCCCTCGCCATGCTGGATGCTTCCCTGGCGGTGCCTGTCACCCAGGGCATTGCCACGGGGAAGTACCACGCAGCCATGCTCACTAACAGCGCTGAGTGGGAGGCGGCCTGCGTGAAGGCCGGCCGCAAGTGTGGGGACCTGGTGCACCCCCTGGTCTACTGCCCCGAGCTGCACTTCAGCGAGTTCACTTCGGCCGTGGCTGACATGAAGAACTCGGTGGCGGTAGGTTGGGGCGTTGTATCTGGGAGGCGTGGATGTCGGGGCAGCAACGTGGCCATGACCCTGTGATGCGGATGGGGCAGAGATGTGTGTCCAGGAGGAGGACGTTCGGCAGGAGGTCTGGGGGGAAGTGCGCCTCTCCATGCACCCTGCCACATGGCTGAAGGTTATTCTCCTGCACAGTCACCCCGTCAAACCCTTCTTTGGCTGCCCCTTGTCCTGGTGGAGCAGTCTCCTCTGCCCTTGATTCCTCCACTCACCTGGCCCCATGCACAGGCCCGGGATGAGGGGCCCGGGAGGGAAAACAGGGAAGGAGGGAGTCACGAGCAAAGGGCTCCCACCCACACCCCTTCCCAATGCCAGAGCACACCATCACTCCATGTCCTGGCCTCCTCAGGACCGAGACAACAGCCCCAGCTCCTGTGCTGGCCTCTTCATTGCCTCGCACATTGGCTTCGACTGGCCCGGGGTCTGGGTCCATCTGGACATTGCCGCACCGGTGCATGCTGTGAGTGCAGTGGGCACCAGCCCGACAGGTGTCTTCCCCTCAGGCTAGACCCCGGCCACCCTCCCTCTTGTCTATGCAGAACCCCCTGGCTCCAGGTCTGCTGGCTGGACTCATTCTGTGTGTGGGTTCCCCAGTCCCTGGCCCGAGCCTATCACTGACCTGAGGGAAGGACCACAACCCTGGCTTGGGCTCTGGGGTACCCTTACCAAGAAGGGGTGGTCGGGGAACCCAGGAAGTCCCCTCAATATGAAGGCCTCACTGGCTGGAGGCCGGGCTGAGGCACTGGGAGCCCAGTGTCCTCTCTCTGTCCCCAGGGTGAGCGAGCCACTGGCTTTGGCGTGGCCCTCCTGCTAGCACTCTTTGGTCGAGCCTCCGAGGACCCCCTGCTGAACCTGGTGTCACCCCTGGGCTGTGAGCCTGACGGACAGGAGGGCGATGTGGGGAGGGACTCCAAGAGACGCAGGCTCGTATGAGGGAAGTACCTGGCCTCAGCCGGTGGCACAGGGCTCTTTACCTCACTTTGCACTGAGTAATTGTAAGCAGTTGAAAGAGTAGGCCTTCAGGTGGGCTTTGGCTTGTTTTCGGTTTGTCACTGTGGTGGTGATGGCAGCGGTGCATTCTTCCATTGTAGAAGACAGGTTGGGGTATGGGGAGGCCACAGCAGGCGCTGGGAAACTTGGGGGCTTGACTCTGTGTAAGCAACCCACAGGTGTGCCCTGGTGACTTCCTACCCACCCGTGCTTGCCATGGGGGCCCTGCCTCGTCCCACGGGGAGTCCATGCTTGCTCCTCAAAATTCACTTGACATCAGATTAAATGCCGCCAAACCACTCTCGCCTGGTCTCATTCTTCTCTCGGTCCTGTGTGTTACAAACTGCCTGGATCCCTGCAGCAGCTGCTCTCGGGGTGCCACCTGCTTCTCCCCAGCTTCAGCAGGGAGGAAGGCCCCTGCTCAGCCCAGCTGTACCTGGACCCCAAGTCCCTTCACCATCTTGGGAATGAAGGGGATTCTGGGTCTGGGCCCAAGCAAATATTTATTTATTGCCTGCTGTGTACATGGCGCCGGCTGGGCCTGAGAAGGCCAGAAGTGGCTCCAAGGCCTCTGGCTCTGTCTGAGAAACCCTTGCCTACACAATGACAGCAATTGTGGGCAGCGGCCGCACAAGAAGGACACCATCGGCTCCTGAGCAGAGGGGAGGCTCAGCTGCTGGCTAGGGGGCTGGAAGCCTTGGCAGGCCATGAGCTGGCTTGATAGTGTGCAGCCCCCCCCAAAAGCGTCCCTCCTAGACACCCAGAGGAGACAGAGGTCATGGAAGTGGCCTAGCTCCTCTGGGGCAGCTGGCACCATCTGCTGCCCCTCCAGGGGGCCGTGCCCCCATGGCTGCAGGATGCAGGGTCAAGGAGCAGGGGAGGAACTGAGTCTCCCTTGTGCAGGCACAAAGGCAGCCTCAGGAACAGAGACTTAGCTGGGGGCCAGCTGCAGGCTCGGGGCCTGGCGCCACGATGGCAGGGGTGAGCCAGAGGCCCTGCTATCCCCAGGACCAAAGGGCTGAAGGATGTGATAGCTCTTCTCTTGGTCTCACTAGAGCCCTGGCAACAGGGGCCACAGGGGTCACAGGGCAGTTGGCTGGGGCAGGTGGGCACTCGGGTCCACTGGATCATGGGTTCCGGTCTATGGTATGGACTTAGCTCGGTGAAGGGGCTGCGTGGCCTCAGGCCCCAGAAGCCGTGCGGGGCCCATGGCACCACCACCACACATGGGGAGGGCACAGGAGGACTTCTAACCATTCCTCTCTGAGAGGCTCTCCTGCGAACTGGACTCTGGGAAGTCAGGGTCTCTCTGGAGGGATAGACTGCAGCCCTGTGTGCATGTGTCCGCGAGTGCGCATGTGTGTGGGGTGGTCTGCAGTGGAGGGAGCGGGGCGTCACACAAGGGCCCCTGCTGGGGTGGGGAGTCCTGCTTCTCCCACCCAGACCCAGCGCCTGAGGCTGGAGGCCCACTGGTTTCTCTTCCTCTCTCTGTGCCCTCAAAATGGAGAGGGGCTTATTTCAAATAAGCAGCTCAAAGGGGAGGACATTTTCACTGAGGAATGCTCATGGGTCCCCCGTGAAATCACAGGCTCCCACCCTTGCCGCTGCAGATGAATTGCTCTCCCACCCCCACCCCTAGAGGCTTTTCTCTCCAGCCGTGCCAGCACCTGCTGCTCTTAGCAGGGGGCTTGAGGGTCCCCAGCCTTGCCTCTTACTGAGACCTGGCTCGGGATCCAACCCTGGAGCCTTCCTGGCCCCTCCCCACCAGCATTTCCTGCCAGCCAGGTTCGAGGGGTGCTGGGGGGGGCTTCCAGGCCTGGGGGGCCACACTGGCCTGGTCCCCCAGAAGCTCTTGCTCCTAGCTGGCTTGTGCGCGGCGGCCCCACCCCCATCATGTTTGTAGAATTTTCTGCTATGATTCTCTGCCCGGAGCCCCAGTTCAGACTGTGTTCCCTGGTGAATTAGTGTTCTGCATTTTTGTTTATTTGTTTGTTCTTTAACAAAAGGTTGTTTTGGTCTGAGATTCAGCAAAAACACACACTGCATTCTGCTTCCTCTCCATTCAGGACTCGGTAAATTAGTTGTTTTTCCAGTCTGCTTCGAGTCCTTGCCTCAAATGAGTCTCCAACAAGATAATGCATTTAAAAGCCCTTGGAAAAGTACCAGCCCCACGCACATGTACAATACTGTCATCATGCAAGCGCTCCAGCTCAGGGAAGGCAAGCCCTCAGCTCGCCGGCTCTACGCCCACACTGACAGCCCTGCCCCCACCCCGGGCCTGAGGAACACCGGCTCCTCGGCAGCCAGGCTGGCCCCCCAAATCTAGGCATGCCCCCCCAAGAGTGCAGGGTTTCTCATCTGCTGAGCAGGGGCTGGAAACACACGGGTGGGGGCAGGTGGGAGAGGAACAGCTAGCTGTCCTTGAAGAACGGCTACCTTCACGTCCAGCCCGGGGTCCTTTTCACATTGCCTCTCTGCTGTGCTCCTGAAGCCCTCGGGGCCAGTCCAGGGAGCATTCTGCAGTCAGGGGAAGCTCCCCCTACACCAGGTTGAAAAGCGCAGAAGCCTTCATTCCCATTACCTCAGAACAAAAAGGTGGCCCCCGCTGGAACTACCTGTTCTTTTGGCTATGTAAGAATCTCGGTGTGGTCCTAGACCTCCCTCCTCCCCTCGGGATGGGTTGAAAGATAACCAGGAAAGTTTCTACTGGCTTCCTCCATGAACCTCCTTGTGATGTCTGATCTTCCTTCTCCTGAGTCAGAGGCATTGGGGGTGCTGGGTACACCTATCATAGCGATGGGCTAAAGCCGGGTTTCGCATCCAACCATATTTATTAGGTGCCACATGTGTGACCCCTGAGACATTCACCCCTCTCTTGGGGTGGGGTGGGGGAACCCAGCTTCCAAGTAGAGCCAGAGCCAGCCTGGTGCATAAGGGGGCTGATGTGAATGAGGAGCCCCCAGGACCACGCAGGAAGTAATACCTCCTTGACCTTGGCCGTGACTAGAAGAGCGAGCACTTGTCAGTGAGTGGCCGCTCGCAGCACAACCCTGAGCAGATGCTGGGGCAGATGCCTGACTCCATGTATCGAGTCTGTGAGGGCTGAGGGATCCTCTAGTTGAAATGGCCCATGCTGGCCATGACCACCGTCTTCTCTTCTGTCTCTGCCTTTCGGACCCTTTCCCCAGAGCCCCGGCTTGGAGCCAGGCACCAGGAGGCGTCAAGCCACTGGGGTTGGTGTGCATGGCTGACCAGGGAGTCTCAGGCTGAGTCATTCGGTACAGAGGCCAGTTCTCAGGGAGCTGATTGCCGGCTCAATAGCCGGCAGCTCTGCGTGCAGCCCCAGGCTGTAAGCCTTAGTTTCCTCATCTGTAAAGTACATGAGCTCCGTATGAGAAAGCATCACGACATAGGCAGCTAAAGGAGAAATAGGCAAGTTGGGCTCCATGAAAATTTGAAAATGTTGGGTATCAAAGAAACTCAACACAGTACCAAGATAATACACACGCTGGGAGAAAGCATTTGCAAGTCAGATATTTAATAAGGAACTGCTATCCAGACTAGAAACTGAAAGCTCAACAACAACAAAATGGCCTCATTCAGAAATGAACCTTGAATGGCCATCTTCCAGAGAAGGTATGCTAATAGCCACTAAACACAGGAGGAGATGCGCTGTCATCCATCATCAGCAAACGCACACCCAAGCTGTGGTGCAGCACAACCTAACAACCTTGCTTCTGGCTATTACCAAAATTAAGAAAGAAAATAACAAATACTCATAAGAAAATAGAGAATTTCGAGGATACAGAGAAACTAAGTAAGGAGGACGGTGAAGTTTCTGGGGAACACAACTTGGCAGCTCCTCAGAAAGTTAAAAATAGAATTACCTAATGATGCAGCAGTTCTGTACTGGGGTGCATATATATATATATA